TTTGTCTTGTAGGCGTATACTTAATATATGGCGCATACGCCACGTGTGTAAATCCATAAGTGTGTGTATGGATGGGTGTGTGTGTGTGTGTGTCACGTGTATCCCTGTGTGCAGTCTCCGCTCTTTACTTGTCTAATTTTCTGCCTCCCTAAACGTTGATGCCACAAAGCAATAAACTATGAGCTTAATTCTTAGTTGTATAACTTGTGAACTATACAAAATTACATATATTCTGGTTGCTTATGCTTTAAATCAAGTTCAGCTCTGTGTATTTATTATAATTTAATTGAATTAAATAATACGCATTTGAATTTAGTGACAGCTTGAATAGTTTTAGAATTCACCTCTGATATTTAAGGCACATTAATTTTCTTGGAATTAGAATTAAATTAATTTATTTTTCATTATGGATATCCACAAAGTAAAATAAACTTGAAATGCTCGGTATGTACGAGGACCTATTCTAAATTTAAAGTCTCTAGTGCTCATAGTCTCTGAGAAGGGCGAACAGACCAAAATGGCTGAGCTGTTGATCCTGATCAAGAATGAATATACTTAATGGTATCACAGATGATTCTCTCTGCCTATTACACAACTTCATTATACTCTTTTTACCCATTTTAAATCATTTTTCATAGTATATAATTTTCATGGAAATATTTTAATCGTTCGGCTTTTGGCTGAACAATAGAGCAAAAGTACAATTTCCTTTGTACATTGACAACTTTTAAGCCATGTTTTTATTTGCAACCCGTTTTGCTTCATACATATTTTGCCATATCATGTTTTACTTTGTTTTTGAGCAGCGCGTTGAGCTGGAAACTTGAGCTGATGTCCTTAAAAGCTGTTGTTATTGTTGTTTTTTATGTCTGGCGCAATGATTTTGTAAATTGGTAAATGAAATACGATAATATTTTAAATAGGCATTGTGCATGTTGGGTCGTACAAGTTTATTGTTTGACCTTTGACCAGGCCAAGGCCAAGTGCCCAAAAAGTTTATCAATTCGCCTCAGGCCATAAGCAGACTAAGAAGAATGGTCGAATGAGCAGGGGAATGGGAAAGCGGGGTAGGGGAAGGTAATAGAAGAGGACGCTTATTGAAAATGCTTTTTGCTCGTGGACACGTAGCAAAAGTAAAAGGAATAAAACTTTCTCACCACGACATTGCCGTGTACGTGAGCGCACTGAAAAGCTGCGTAATTAAAAGTCGAGTAAATATGTGTATTTAATATATTGTTGTATAAAACATATATATAAATATATATTGAGATATTTTTAGACAACTTTTGGCCAGCTGATATGATAAGTCCCACTTAAGCCAATCCAACAAACAAAAATTGAAACGATGCGTGCGTGGCGAAAAATTCCAACTTTTAATTGTGAAAGTTTAGCGAGGAAAAGAAAAGCTGAAGAAAATAAGTGGGAGAGAGTGCAACTTAAGCCTCACACACACATGTTACATAAGCGCCCGGAATAGAATTGAGTTCTGCGCACACGAACAGACACAGACACACACACACACACGCGCACACAGCAGGTGTGTCAAATTGTTGCTCATAGTAGTATTAAGGGGCAAAACGGAACCCAGGCAGGCAAACTGGCAGAGAGAACAGGCCTCCCACCGGTGGCAGGGGAGGCTGTTAGAGCAAAATCCTTGTGCGTCCTGCTCACATAGGATCTGCTGTCATTCTGCGTTTGCTTGTCATCAACTTCATGCGTTTTGACATTTTTATTAGTTGAATACTCCTTAGCAGCATGCTCCATTGCTCCATTTCCCCCCCTTTCTGCGCTGTCCGCACTCCTTCGTCTTGGTGACATCTAATAAGTGTTTACTACCCAACGAGGACGCTTTTCCAGTGCTTTAAAAACATAGGGGCTGTATGTGTGTGTGTGTGTGTGTGGGTGTGTGCACAAGTTCGTGTCTGTTACAATTTGCTGCCCTGCTGGATGCCCCAACCACCACGCCTCCCGCCTTGTGGACTCCTCTCACATATATTCCCAGTCGATAAGAAATGAACAAATTGTGCGCAATTCACTTTTTTTTACACTTTTCGCATTAACTTTGCTTGAACTTTTTTTTCTGCTGCTTATTTGTCTAACGAAATTGCTGGAAGTTAAGGCTAATTTGATTGATGTGAAAGAGTTTTTCAAATTATATAAATTAAGTTATATTTGACATCATATATGTATTTATGTAAATTGTGATGTGAATAAATTTAATATTATTTATTATGAATAAAAATCGATTTTCACATTGATTTCAAATTAAAAAAAAAAGGTTCGCATGTTACACAAGATATTAATAAACTGTATAAATAAATATTTATATTGACATTAAAAACATTAAAAATAAATCCTGATGAATTACAATACGTTAATTGGCACCCAGAAAAGTTTGGATTTAAATTATGTAGACAAATGGAAAAACTCCGTCGTGTTTTATTTACGCGGCTCGAATGTAAAACAAATAACATACGCATCATTTTATTTGCCCATTTGCGTCGTTTCTTTAATTTATGCAATTAAGCCGCTTTAATTAGTTAAGAACAACGAGACTAAAGAAAAACAACAGCTGTTGCATAAATAAGTATGCGTGTACGACCACAAACTCCAAAAAAAAAAAAAAAATAAATACAAAGTGAAAAATTCGCATAAAAAAATGCAATTCAACCATTTCAACAATTTCGTTTATGCGGCAAAAACTGAAAACCAATTAAATTTGCTCCCTAGAAGGAAAATGGTTAAAAAAACGATCCATTAAACAGGTAAAAACAAACAAACAAAAACGTTCTAGTAGTGCGTAACCGACTGCGGAATACTCTAATAACAACAACTATATAAAAGGTGTCCAAAAACTCTATTTCTCGGGGTTGTGGATATTGCGTATCTGACTGGATGCACCTGGACCAATTATTAACCATTTATTCTTTGAATTCACTCTTTAAGTTTGGAGATATCTTCCAAGTTTTGGTGACTCTAGTCTTAAAAATGTGCGAGATATGTGGTTTTATCGATGTAAGATTCATTTTTCCATCTAATCGATTTCCATCTCCAACTTATAAAACTTGATCTGACGAATATACAAATATTTATTATTACGAACATTGTTGAAAACTAATATACTCTTCCACCTTGGATAGCTGAGTATGATAGCTTGAATATTAAATTCGTAAAAGTTACAATATTTTCATAAAATATGCATTAAATACATAAAATATTTTCAAACAGCCATTTTAAATTTGTTCGTGATTAATTAAATAACTCGAGAAACAGATATAAAAATATACTAACTGGCATGGCAATATTTTCGAAATTAGATTTTCTAAAAGTAAATGCTTTAAAAAAATCTAGTTGAATTTTTGATGTTCCAACGGCATATTAAATTGTTGCACAGAATCCGTCAAATTTTTGTAAAGTCCGCTGGCAACTTGCTAATGCTAATGAAGTGACAGGGAGTGTCCACTGTCCACTGTCCACTCTGTACTGTCCAGAGTGCAGAGTTGACAACTCAAAATGGTCAGGCCAAGGCTTCGTGTCTTGTATCCTTAAAATTTGTGTGAACGCTTATGATGGGCAGAAATAAAAAGAAAAAAATATGGAATATACTAAAAACAAACCATAGAATGTCAATGTCCATTTAGAAAAGTTGTCCCAAGAAACTGATGGCTATTTGGACTGGTGGAATGGGTGGGTGCAACTTTCAAGCAGCTGGCGTGCGTCCAAAGGTGACCCTGGGGAATAGAGGACGGAGATGGGTGATGTTGAATGTTGGATGTGGGCAACGATTCAGTTGAGTTCCGCAGCAACGGTGAAACTTTTAAATGAAATTTTTGCGTTAAAGTTTTGTCAGGTAAGTTGCGCAGCAGCTTGGCTGAGGTCAGCCAGGAAAGTAGCGGTCTACCGCAATCACACACCAGAACACACACACACACGCACACACACATACACATACGCACACGCTCTGTACGATGCTATATTGTCACGTAGCTTGCTTGGTGACAGATTCCAACTGGCAGGCAAATAGCATTAAGCCAACAAACGGCAGCTAAGCAACAGCACATTATGAGCCACTAAGGATGCCAAGGATGCTTAGGATGATGCAGATATAGCAGCAGCGCCCCACACCCCTCTATCCACTACCTAACGCAACAAAAGTTTGCGTTTTAATGTCTCAGCAAGTGTTGCCAGTCATGCGTTGTCTCTTTGTTGCCCCAACCCTCCCTCCACACCCCCACAAAAAAAAAAACAAACAAAAAAAATGAAATTAGCAACATATGCGAGCTGTTGCCCAAAAAAAATGAATGTATATATGTATATATGTGAAGAGGCTGAGATTTAACTGTTTGGTTGTCCTAATGCAGCATTTCAAATAATTACAACATTTTCTTTTGCACACTCGTATATGAAAATATAATTCTTATGTATGCGCCACTCATATTTTTTGTATTATATTTTGTGGACTACGCTAATATTTTTTAAGCCCTTGGTCGAAATGTTTTTTGTGCTGTGCTACCCAAAATAAAATTATGACACTCTCTGCGGGCTCCAAAGCCGAAAAGCTAATGCGTTTTTAAATATGCTGCAGCGGCTGCTCTTGGCTGGCATTAATTAACAGTCAAAGCTCTCAGACAGCAAAGCTATTTAGGCGATAAAATGGGGGTAAAATGGATAGGAGAAGGCATTTTAGTCACATGTGTTTAGGAAGTTTTTTTTTTGTACAACGTTGTGATTTTTTAATAGTTTTCGTTTGATTGTAAAGTTGAATACGAACTAAGGAATAACTAAAAATAATATAGTATATGCCTTTAGATTTTTTCTTAAAAAATGTAGTGAAAAATATAACTAAAATAAAATGATTTGACGTATAACAGAAACCTTTTAGCTGAATGTTTCGCAAATGAAAAATACAATAATTAAATAGCTCTTAACATTTTATTAACCAAGGTCCAATGTTATATATATATATATGTATATAGTTTTATATTAATTCGTTCACTCACTTGTTGCTTTGATTTTCCTTCAGCTTCGTTAAGCTTTCACACCGCGTATACTTAATGTTTTAATTCAATTCTTTTCTTTTCGTTTCTTTTTACTATTTTTTTGTTTTGTGGCACACTCACGGAACACTGGGCAATAAAACTACTCGGCTTGCTTTTATTTCAATTTCCAACGCGCTTATGTTTGCTTTAGTTGAGGCTGCTTTGAAAAAATCGAAGAGCTGCCATCGTGTAACAAGCCGCTCTTGCTCACATTGACTAACACACACATGCGCACACACACATGCGCTCACACACAACCGGCGCACTAACACATTGTTACAATGTATTTGTTGTTATTCAAGTCCTTTTGGCTGCGGCTGGTCGCCGTCGTCGTCGTTGCTGTTGCTGTTGCCGTTGCTGTTGCCGTTGCCGTTGACGTCCTTTAGGTTTTGTCGTGAAAGGCAACAGCTTGAAATGCTATTAAAATATAATCTGCTGATAATCTGCACTTAATTTCGTGCTTTAGTCGATGGAGAGCACACACACACACACACAAATACACACAAAAAAAAGCAGTGTATGAAATGTCCTTGTCTCAAGGCAGTCGTCAGCTGTGCGTCCTTAATTGTACTTTAAGTCCCCAAGGCGTTGCAGCCACTAACTACTATACTCGTACCTTTCAATTTGCATTACTTTTTTTCTTTCTTTTTTTTGTGTAGCTGCTACTATTTTTGGGGTTTTTAATACGTATTCACTTCGTTAATCTTTTATATGTATATGGATTTCATTGGTTCTATGAGGCTTTGTATTTCCGCTTTTGAAAAACCTTTCTTTACTTGGCCCTTGCTGAGAGCTTTCCGCTTCGCTGAATTTTAATGTTTGCTATGTTAGTTTGTTTGACTTGCTATAGTTATTGTTGATGTTTTCGTTCCAAATTCGTTCATGTGCGTGCATGTTGATTTCATTTGCTGTTACCTTTTGATATACTAGCAGCTTTTATTTTGGGTGTTTTTCGTTTTGTTCAGCTTTTGAGATTTGATTTTTTTTTAAATTTCTTTAATCAAATTTCCACTTGATTGAAGTGACGACAATTTCGATGATTTTCGGTTGCTACAGTGGCTGCTGGTGTGTTTGTGTGTGTGTGTGCGTAAGAGAAAAAAAAGAAGAAAAACTTTTTATTAGTAGGAACTTTTGGCAAATGATTTTGTATTTACAATAGATTTGCCTTCACTTTCAGGCATAAGAACTCAAAATAATATTTATTTAGTATGTATTTTATTATTGTATTGACTATATATATATATAAAGTACTGTTATCAAAATGGCGGATATTTAAAAAATGCTTATACTTATGCACGTATAACTTTATCCTGCAGTTCACAATTTCGTGTGACTTTTTAAATACATATCGAATTCTTAGCAAATGTTTTTTGAAAAGCACAAAATACAGAAATAGTCTTAATTTCATAATAATAAGAAAAAAAATAAATAATAAGTATGAGAATTGATAGATTCATTAATATTTTAACTAAACAGTTTTGCCTTCTAAGTTTAAACATGCCCACGCACTCAACTCTTCACAATTTAAAGCAAACTCCTTCAATAAATTGCGATTAATTTAAAGAAAACCTCTTTCGAAATAGGTTTTGAAAAGTCGTGAATTGCAGTGAAATTCACTGGAAATTGTTAAAAATTTGTTAAGTCAAATTTTTTGCAGCAAGCCTTGCCGTCACTTGACATACACTTTACAATCACTTTATAATTTATTCATGTGTAGCTTTTGGCCCGATGCCGCTGAAGAGTGGCACAACTGCGGCTATAACCAGAAACCAAAAACCAGTAACCAGAAACCATTAAGAAGCGTCGCTGCGAAATTTGTTGAATGAGCTTATAGCAATTTCATTTCCGTTTCTTTTTTCACAGTTTTTTAATTGAATTCGTCGCTTTTAGCATGTCGCATTTTTGCCTGCTGTTATAATTTGTATACATTTTTTTTCTTTTTCCTCGCTTTTCATTCTTTTTCTGTATTTCTGTTACAGTTTTTGAAGGAACTTTTTTTTCTCCATTTAACTGTCAGATCCTCTTAACGTGACCGTTTTACCTTTCGCTTGTGAGTGGTTTAATAATACTTCCAAAAGCCGCATTGCGACATTAACAGACACACGCACAACACACACACACACACCCTCACACACATTTGCAGGTTGTAACATAAAAAAAAATTCGTTTTCACAATTGGTCTTTTTATTTTTTGCATTCACAAAATTATAATTTGTGTAAATTCGACGCAGCAGCCGCAGACACTAAAATATTTAATTTCCTCTACGCGTCTGACGTTGATATAATTCCTTCCGGTTATTCCTGCCGCAGAGTGTTTCTAATTCCTCGCAACCATCCGCATGGCCAGAATTCAACAGCTCTAACAGCCAGCTACAATTTCCATCAATTCGACCCCCACCCAAACATTCCCCTATACAATTTTACAAATTGTTGTTTGGCAAAAAAAAAAAAAAAAAAAAATTAAATCACATTTTTCCACTGCCACTTGCCTCGTTCCCCTTGTATGTTTCTGGCATTTATGCTTCATTTACTTTTGATGGTGTGTTTTTTTTCTGTCAGCAAAGTTGGTTATACATGTTGTTCTTGTTGTTGTTATTTTCTGGCATTTAATGGTTCATTGCAAACTTTAGCTAAAAAAAATGTATAAGATGTGCTTGCACTTAATGTTTAAGAAAATCAGAAGATTAAACTTTATCCGGTTTGTGAAATTATGGGCAGATTGTGTCTGTAAAATTTGGTCAGGCTACAGTAAATTAATTTATACAACTGACCAATACCATTTTAATATTAATATATTCAAAGATTGTTTGATATTATGTAAGTCAAATTCAGTGACTTATTGGCTATTATTCACACAAGAATTATTAAAATAAATTGATTAATTAAGAATACGAGCTGCAATGACGTCTGTAGAGGAGTAAAATGATTCATGGAATCGGAGAAAATATGAAAGGAGATATATTTAAAATATGGACTACAGATTATGTAAATCAACATCACTAATATTTTGATCACAACTAAATGTGTTATTCGCAAAGCCGCAGACCAAAATATTTTTCCCGATTTACTGCTCTTCACTTAACTTAATTAAAATGTACAAATATAAAATATCATAGATTTAAAATTGGGAAATGTTTTTTGTGAATTCGGCAATTAAGACAAGTTTTAGAAACTTAAATTGTGGTGAATAAGTGCCTAAATGTAAATAGCTTTTGACAAACTTAGAACACTATAGCAATATTTTGATTTATGAATACAACTTTTGACTTGACACTTTTCGCGGTTGCTTTCGTCACTTTTCCATTCATTTTATTTACAAAACAAAGTTGCTTTCTGAAACTGAAAAATGTTTTGCAATCCACGGAATTTGTTTTGTTTGCAAAAGTAAAACGTATTTTATTCCAGGAAATTTATTTCATTTATTGAAATACACATTAATCAACAGGAAAGAAAGGCTCAGACTTCTTGTTTCCGCTTTATGGCCAGACTAATTAGTTTTATGTGGACATATTTTATTAGCCAACTCGTCAACGTTGTGTGTCAAACAACTCGGAAGTGCGTGGTAATTAAATTAATTATAAACGTAATGCTGCTGCACCTGCTGCTTCAAAAAGAAAACAAAAAATAAATCTAAAAATCATAAACTCGTTTAATATTTTCATTTAAGAGAGTTGCACACATTCTACGGTTGCAAAAAATGTTAATGAGGTGTTTGTTCGAGCTACTGTGTTGGGGTGAGAGGGGTCACTGCATTAATTAAAAAGGGTTTACCATTTGAGTCGGCAACGAAAAATGTTCGCTCAACTGTTGACCCGGACAAAAAAAAACCAAAAAACATAATTCGCAGAAGCAAAAATAAAAAAAATGTGAAAGCAAAAATAAACTAAAAAGGGAATAATTTAAAGGATGCTTTAAGGAAACGCATCGCACGTGTTTGGTGTTGGCCTTTTATTTTCTATCTTGCCTCTTTTTTTTGGCTGGTATTTTTCTTATTGCTGTTTTTGTTGTCGTTGTCAATCTCAGGCCTAAGGACACAATTTCAATTCGAGCGCGTGTGAGCTATGAGTATACTCTTCTCACTTCCTTTACCTCTCTCTCTGTATCTAACTCTCTCTCTCTCTATCTCTCTCTCTCTCTCTCTCTTGTGTCTCTTTCTTTGTGCTATATGGCGCTTTAATTTCCGCTTGAATGCAAAGCAAAAGGTTTTCCTTTTTGGGGAAATGGGGGCGAGCTCATGAAAAAGGTTTGCCTTCACTTGCATGTTGACTTGCGATTTGACTGCCGCTCGACCTAAAAGCGACCAAGCAAAACAAAACAAAAGCTATTCCAAACACACACACACACACACACACACACACACACATACATACTTTCTCATTTTTGTTTGCCATGTGCAAGATTCTACGACGATGGCGGCCTCAAAAATGGCCAAGCAACCTTTTCAACTTGATTAATTTTCACAATTTAACTTGATGAGCACAAAATTTTCCAACTAAACAATGGAAAATGCTAGCCATTGCCCATTGAGTAGGTGTCAGTCAATCAGTCAGTCATTCATTCACTCACTCACTCCATCAGTCCGTCAGTCAGTCAGTCAGACAGTTGGACAGTTCAGTTTCTGTCACATTTTGATTTGAACTTTTTCTTTTTATTGCATTATATTCATACAAATATATATATATATATATATATTTTATGTTGTGGACATCATCTGTTTATCACTTTTCAAGATTACTTTTGTAAATGCGCTGTGATTAGAAAGCGGTGCCAAGCAAAGCCCCTCAATTTGATTTATTCATGAAAATGTGGCGACATTTGAGCTAATGGCTGGGCACACATGAAAGCAATTTTACGAGCATATCAAACAAATATATTGAAGCCTATTTCAAAAAAGGCTGAGAAGTCCATTTGATTTTTTGGTTGACTGAAATTTATTGCATTTTGTTACAGCCTTAAAAGTTTTAATTGGAATTGCTTGTAAGTTGGTTTTAGGTTAATCTATGGCACTCATAAATTCTTTTCTACACTTAGGTAATTCCATATTTAAGTAAAATATTGCTTGCCATTTTTTAGGCTTATACACACTAAACGCTCTCAATATTCTCTCAATGACAGAGCTGTTTTTATATATTTGTTTGGCTCAGTTGCTGACATTAGCAAATATTGGTAAATAACATTTATTTTGTATGCTCTTTAGCCAGTTGGCAAAGGATTGCGTAAAATAAATAAGCAACTAACTATTTATTATTTTGCTCGGCAGCATATGCAACTGAACAAAACAATTTTGAAATCATTACTCATACGACTGGTTGGTTTCTTGGTAGGGACAAATGGGAAAATCTAAAGGAAAAGCGCTTGGACTACAGGCTGTTGAAGTTAACAGTTTCCCTTTGCAGCTTGGACAAGTGATTTATTAGTCGAGTTGAAATTTGTTTGGTTTGCTTCGCTTCTGTTTTTCAACCAGTTTAGTTGCAGTAGGCCAAAGGTAAAAGAACTTTCACCAATTTGAAATGCTGCCAATACTTTTCTATCTGTATATATAAACATATATATATATAAATATATAAATGATATATATATTTGGCGCAAAAGGATGCCAAATTTTAAGCACAAAATAGTTTTCGGCTTTGGAAGATAGCCGTTTGTAATGTGTTGTTTGTGGCCATAAATTTTGTTATAACGCTTGCACAAATTTCATAGAATTTAGTGTTGTTGATTTTAAGCCTGGTATTTATTAACAAATTTATTGTTGCACTTTTTGGATTTATTGATATTTTCTTTAGATTTCCATTCTTTTTGGTCAATTTTGTCACCTAGTTTGTATTTGATGGTTGAATTTTCTTTATTTAGATTCATTTATTATGTTTTGTACGATAAATAGATTCAAATTATATCTGATATTTCTTTCAAATTGTACTCTGAGCATCGATTTAAAATGCTATCCTTAGTAAAGGAATTCATAAAGATTTAAAATCTATTTTTTCTCAACTATTTTTTGTTTGTGTTTTGTTTGAACTTAAAAGACACAACTTCGAATAAAATGGCTTATCTTTTGAAGCTTACATTTTCTACACACAGCAGATTGTATGGCTGCAATAAGCTTCAGCTTGTATTTTGCTTTGTAGGTTCATCGAAGTTGTTACTTGAGCGCCGACTTCGCCTATTGGAGATGTGAGGCCCTACGGCTGCTCCAAAGCTCAAAGAATACAAAGCGGACTTTAAGTTCAACCGGTTCGCGGGACATTCGCATTCGTTGGTGGCAATACGCGTTACCTGAGCCTGTCCCTTTGGAGTCTTTGTTTCACTGTTTGCTTTCGATTTGGCCCGAAAATTTACACACACCAATGCACAACTCAAGCCAGGCCACGCCACGCTGTGCCACACACCACGAATCGAATCGAACGCACGCACGCACTTTACCCGCACACACGCACACACACACGCACATACACACGCACATACACACACACACACACTCAGAGACACACACTCGCACAAAACACACACACAGCAGACACACACGCGAGCTCACACGTACAACTAATACCGGGGATAGGACGCGTTCTGGCTGTGTGTGTGCGTCGTTCTTGTAAATTGTTGGCAAGAAAAATCGGAACGCGTGCAAAATGCTTGCTCCCTGTCTGAACGGATGCTGGAGCTTGACTGAAAGCAGCGTTCACCTTAGCTGGAGCATCATCAGCGCCAACAGCGGCGGCCAGAACCTACTATAATACTACGGACGGCAACGGCTTTTGCCCAAGCGCCCGAAACGAAGTCAGAACACACGAGGATGCCAGGATGTGGCACTGTGTCGAATCGAGTCGACTCGAATCGTTGTCATCGGCGACACCAACGTCGACGAGTCTCAACGACTCTTTGCAACAATTACAGCATCCCTGCAGCAGCTTTGCAAGGGAAGCTTTTGCCCAAAGAGTGCAAGCGTTAAGCTTAAGAGCATTGCAAAAGCTCGCAGAGCTTGCAATACACATTCAGCACATTGAGCGAGAGCGCAAATGAGCGAGCTTTTCAAAAGCTTCTGCTTGCTTTTCATTTTTTTGTTGTTTTATATCAATTTATGTAGGCTTTTTATTAAATGCTCGTTTCGTTGTTTTTCTATTTTTGTTTATAGTATGGGCCTCAGCTGTGCAGTTTTAAGCTTTGTATCCTTTTCAAACCCTTTGCTTGTATATATATATTTGTGTGTGAGTGTTGCTTTTTGTGCTGTCGGCTGCCAATTTAGACAATTTAACAGGTGGTTAGAGGTTATTGTTTGACTGTGTAAATATAAGAACCAAAAAAGGGAATTGCATACCCTTGCGGAATAATGGTATCCAAGCTAAGCTGTAAAAATAAAATTTTAATATATGTATATTTGTCAAGAATGTATATATAATATATATATCCTTTAATGCAATGCACAGCTCACGCCAAAAATTCTAATACGCTCTGTAAGAGAATGGGATAAATTATTTAGCATACTTTTTGGAGCACGACTAAGATTTTTTTACAGATTATACCGTGCGCCTGCCAATGGAAACTCCAACGCAAACCTAATACCAAATACACAATCACACACACATACACACACGAATTGGACACAGATATGGGATATCAGACCCGGAAAGCCAATCAAGGTGGGTTAGTTACATTTATCGGCTAAATGGTCAATGCTGGTCAGCAACGAAATTTGTCCACATGGCTGACAGGCAGCAGCATACGCTAATTAAACTACTGGGACAGTAGCAAGAGCTGAAGGCATAGCAGCTTATACAAGTTCTGGGATAATGAACGTGTCTGTTGTTTCAACTTGCAGCAGGCACATTAACTGCTTTGTTTCTGCCCGGAAAAGACAGATGGTCAGTGGAGTGGAGAGTGAGTGAGTTGGGGCCTCACAAATGATGCTTAAATGCAGTTGACTGACTTCCACCTACGTATATCCTGTGATTGACACGTAGAAACCATCGAATTGTGATTTGTACGCAACTGGAACTCATGCCAAAATGAGAGATGGAGAGAGAGAGAGAGAGAGAGACATATATATATATATATATATATATACAGAGAGAGCGAGAGAGATGGAGAAAAGAGCACACTCTGTCAAAGCGGCAGAGTGCTTCTTCCCGAACTGCGTTATTTGGCCATTAAGTGGTGGCAGCTGTCGACCCAAAGAGCGACACCAGAAACGGCAGCCGACAGGTGTCTTTGGACTACAGGGCAAGAAATGTAGCGTATAATTTTGATGTATTGCATGGATCATTTCAATGCTCATTAGCTCGCGAACTCGTCGCATGAAAATGGGAAATGTGAAAATGGCCCGGTGATATGAAAATGTGACAGGCATGCAATAATAATTGCGTCTGTAATCATGGGAAAAGTATTTGCATATCTACATTATTAGGGTAGTTGTGCGAAATGCTTGCAACAACAATTCAATGTAATATAATCGCTTTAGCTATGCCTAAAATATAAACAAGAACTTTTGGCTTTAATCAAAATAAAATTACAATATTTCTGTTAACAATTATGGTTTTAAAATACTAAATGTAAGTGTTTTATTTGCACACATTAAAGAGATCTACTTAAAAAATTATTAAAAATAATACCACTCGAAAAGTATATGTAATAAGTGAATAAAATCTGTACTTTACCATGTGAAAATACTTAAATTTCTTCATGTGTGTTTTTTTTATCGTATTTTTCATTGTGATTTTCCTTCATCTTTTGCTTGTTCTTAATCGTCTTCTATTAAATTATTCACCGTACATTGAACTCTTGTTTTCACAAGATTCCTTTCCCAAAAAGCATGCAGCCTGAAGCGGAGCGCAAATAAGTGGGCCGGCGGGAAGGCGCTGTCGGTGGTTTAAGAGATTTCAGTGGAATACTGTGCAGATTATTAAGGCATGATATATGAAGCTGAAGGGCGTATTATCCTCCTACTCGCTTACCTGTGCGGCTGTCTGAAATATTCCTGGCATAATAAAGGAAAAAAAAGGAAAACAACAACAGATAAAAAGAGAGAAAAGAGACACCCAACACACATTTAAACACACACACATATACATACATCATGAGTTGTCTTGGCAACTGACGCACAACTCTCTCATACGTCATAGAATCTGCTTGCGCTTACAGCTTGTTGTGTGGTGTGTGTGTGTATTGTTATTTTTGCGCTGTATGTGCGTGTGTGTGCTTCTGAGTGCGTGCCACGATGCCTCTGGCGAGTATCTTTTTCGCAGCATTTTACAATGGCCGGTTAGAAGGGTATCACGCTGTTGTGCAAATGTATGTAACAGGTTGAAGGCAGCATATCCGATTCCACATATCCTTAAACGGGGCAACTATCCCATGTCCGTTCTTCGAGATCTAGCTAGATATTTGATTTGAAATTCCAATAATTTCAATTTTGATTTATTCAATATCGGATAAACTGTGATTTGTGAACGCATTCCTTGCTGCTTAATTGCAGTTTTGGTTTTACCAATTACTGGGTATTAACCTAGTCAGGCAAACTGAAAATCCAAAATCTTTCACTTATTGTTATTGTTGTTATTGTCGCTTTAGTCGTAAACTTAAATTGTTATTTCACCTTGAAAGCGCTACAAAAAAGATTTACGGTCACCCTGTCACCTCACAAACCCCACTCTCAACATCTTTCCCTTTCTTTATTTATCTAGGGTCTCTCTCCCTCTCTCTCCCTCTCTCGCCCTCTCTCTCTCTCTCTCGCTCTCTCTCTCTCTCTCTCTCTCTCTCTCTTTCTCTGTCATTTGTGCTTGCTTTCTTGTGGTTTTCATAGCTCTGTCATTTTTATGCTCATTACTTCGCATTTGCTGGTGCTTTAGCTCCCTCCTCAGCTACAGCCACAACACAGAGTGTCCTTGCTTTCAATTTCCAATGGAAATAATAATAATAACAAAAACAACACGACTGAAATCCATTGTTGTTCTTATTGTTTTTGTTGTGTTTCGCAAGCTTATTTTGATTTCTATTTGTTTGCTGTTTTGTTTTCAGTGTTTTAAATGTTTGCAGTCGCCTTGTCGCATATTTATTACACTTTGCATTACGATGTCTAGAAATTGCTGCAGACAATTTATGGTTCTCATAAGTACCAGAAAAATATATATTTATTTACATGCAGGGCAAGCGAATGTAAATCAAATGGTCGACCCATTAAGGCAATCTTTACCTGCAAACACTTCGTGGAGCCATTGATAATGTTTCTGTCATATCAAAATGGCATTGAACCTGTATTGGGAATATCCACTGGGTAAGTTTTCTGTAATAATGTTGATTTAAATTGTGGTTTATTTTGGTATTTTGTATGTTATTTACAAAAAAGCCACTCAACTTGAACTGTTGAGTTGAAACTTTTTCATGTACGTTTTCTTTATCATAGGTTTGCCGGGCCATAAATAACACACATCATTATTATCGCATTACGTCGACCCCAAAAACCAAAACTATAAAAAAAGAATTGACAGAAAATTGTGTCAACGCGGCTGCTTCTGTTGATGTTGCTTCTGTTGCTGTGGCTGCTGTTGGGCGCCCAGTTTACTGCTGCCATCGTGTGCCATATTAATTAAATACAAAATGTTTACACTAATAATTCTCACATAAATTCCCCCAGAGATGGCGAAAGCGGAAGCATCATAAATTTTGCTCTTGGTGGCGCTGCAAGTTGCAAGATGCGAATAGCACGCAGCGGCCACAAATTGTGAGTTATCTTTGGTGCGGGTCGATGCTGTGGCAGCCGTAGAAGCAGCCGCAACCGCAGCCGCTTCCCCATGCCACCCCCCTCATTGCACCCACCGCTAGTTGGCTTTTGTCGCCGTTGCATGCAAAGACATTAAATTAAATTATTGTCACAGGGCTGGCGGCATCCTTCGCCGCTGTACTTGTATGTCCTCTGACTCATTGTGTCATCCTTCGCCTTGTCGTTGTTTTTTCCTCCCTTGTTTGGGCGTGGGAGGTTGGGGGCTAGTTTAAATACGATCTAAATAGCTCCCCAGTTGCCCGGGCATAAAAACCCCTTTTGCGCTCCCCTAAGTATGCCTCACAATTTGGCTGTGGCAAAACACGTTTCATTAGGCATGCCGAAGGCGCAACGTTGCGTATACGTAATATTTACAGAACAGAATGGCTTTGTGACGCAGTCGGGACTTAAAACATTTCAAACCATTAAAGTGTGTGCGAAAAACTCAACGATAGTTGAAATATTAGATTGTGAAGTGAGAACTAGCTGAGTGCTGAACCAATTTAGAAATAGATCAGTCATTTTAGGACAATATAATCACATAGTAATAGTTTATTGACATCAAACACAATTTATTTATACATCAAACTCCAGTCAAAGTTATTTTAAATTTACGAATAATTTATAAATTGACCAAAGCTATTAATATTTAAATTTTAAATTTGTAATTAATAATTAGTTTTGATTATATTTGTGCGTTT